GATTTTCTTCCGGAAACAGGAGATTAGAAGGAAAAGGAAGACACAAGATAAATATAAATTAAGTGAAAGTTGGGACCAGGTGGGACGCAGCACTCTGATGGAGATACTGCCAACCCAGGACCGGTGTAGCAAGTTTATTTTATACACATCTCAAGGGGAGGTGCCTGGGGCTGGGTAAAGAACACAAACAACATCTGGTGTTGTTTGTGCATGCTGTAAGCAGAACTCTATCAGAAAAATGTAACTTGTGGTAGCTAGCTGGAACATAAATTAGATACAGCTAAATGTTTGTACAAACTGAGCTAAAGGTCATGGATGTGTACAAGGAAAGACTTTGCAAGTTCCTTGTTCTTAGGGTCAGCTTTGCAAAATCCCAAGGGGCAGCCAGACTTGGGTGAAGCCCGAGTTTCTGGACCACAGCTATTCAGTTGCAATCCTTGGGTTAAACTACCCCCAAGTCAGAGACCTTCAGGTCAGTTGCTCCCAAAACTCTGGGACAGATACACTCTCTGTAAAGTGTGCAGTAGGGAAACAGCAGAGTCGCAGGAATGGGACGTTTCATGGGAAGGAGTGGCTGGTGAGTTTGAACCACAGAACTTGCAGCTTATATTAACTTTGAGATCAAGTGCTTATCCTAAGATAAGATATTGTTGTTAAGAGTGTTGAGTCAGTTCTGAGGCATAGTGACCCTTTATGAATTCAGAAACTGTAACGTTTTTTTGCAGAGTGGCTGATGAATTTGAACTGCTAACCTTGCAGTTCAAACCAACCTTGTAATCCAGTGCTTATCCTCCTACATCACCACATCAGGACTCTCTCTCTCTCTCTGTATTGTGTGTGTGTATATATAGAGAGAGACTCCTGGTGTGGCACTGTGGGCTAATGCGTCAGACAGCAAAGTCGCTTGAACTGCAAGGTCAGTGATTCAAGCTCACCAGTTGCTCCTTAGCGTAGTGGTTACAATTCAGGCTGCTAACCGCAAGGCCAGCAGTTTGAAACTACCAGCTGTCGTGCGGGAGAAAGATGAGGCTTTCTGCTCCTGTAAAGATTTACAGCCCGGGAAACCCTATACAGGGTCACTATAAGTCAGATTCTACTACACGGCACACCACCACCACTAACTATGGGCATATCTATACGCCCATAGTTAGTGGTGGTGGTATA